ATTTAGATTAACCAGCTGTTAGAGGCTGTAACTAGAAACAATGGAGAAATAGATCAGTGAAAACCAGTGAGTTCTGTTAGAGGCATCACAGTAAAACTGAGAGTTAAATCCATGAACATCAGCGACTGCTGTTAGAAGCCTTTCATGATGATATGTAGTATGAAGATGTGAAGACCTCAGTATATTGTGAATCAGTGTCTATGTGTGTAACTCACATTGCTGAGAGTTTTTCCTAGCTCTGAGTTTCTCTGAGTTTGGCTGTGGTGTTATGTTTCATGCTGATTTTGTAATCGTAAGAATAAAAATTATTCAATTTTTGAATAATTCTGACAAAAAAGTCAGAATGACATGCGCTAGGGTTAAGATGTCACACATATGACCCGCGGGCTGGGACTGGCCCCATAAAAGCTTAAATCTCACCTTGCAAATGAAGTCATGATACATATTCTAAATTAAAATCATCCTGTGGACTGTAGATAAATCAAAGAGCTGGGGCTCCTGTGTGGCGCAATCATCTAAGCGTTGGCCCTTTCATCAGATCGCGAGTCTGATCCCTGCTAATGCTACAATCATCTGTGGCCGGGAGTCTAAGAGAACACAACTGGCCCTGCTTTCTCTAGAAAGGTAGGGCGACCCTCCCTCTCCCCATCACTCAGCGTAATGCTAGCCAGCACAGGCGCCTGTTAGCTGACGTAATGGCAATGGCAGTTAGTGTTCTTGTCCAAGCGTGTCGAGTTGACCAATGACGTTGTGTTAGCAACAGTTCAAAAAGATGCAGCAGCCGGTTTTACATGACTTGGAAGCAGCATGTGTTGCTGTTTACCTCCTAGTATTGTGTGACTGGGGAGAACTGAACATGACTAAATTGGGAAACATGCTGAAAAAAATGTGCCAGTAATGGGCAAAATAAACCAATAAAGTCAGGGCTAGCTTACAGGCTAATGATGTGTAATGTTCAATCTAAGAATCTGATGATGACCTAAAATGTGTTTGACACCTCTGTGCTAGAAGGTTTACTGTTTAAAACATGAGAAATACTGTATAAGACCATTTGTACAAATGCCAGTTTTGATCCATACTGTCAAACAAATCAGACACCTTGTTTCGTAACTTTTAAAGACCACTACTCTAAAGACTAATGTGAAGAAGAGGAGCTAATTCCCAGGCTAAGCTAATCTTCCATATTTGCTGTACCTGCCTCCACTCATTATAGCATTTTAACACTTATCCTCTCCCCTCCACCGCGCAGAGCCTCTCTCCTGCATATGGCCTTCAGACGGTGAGAGGACATCCCGCTGCCACTGCAGCACCTATTCCCCCCACGCTTTGGCCGAGCTCCACGCTCGAACTGCAGCCAAGCTCTCTGAAGAGCTCACTGCGAGGCCAGGCTGGATGTGTGAGAGGCTTGTTCATGTCGGTTCTTGCTTAGCACAGATGCTGATGCAGAACCGGTAAGAGTTTAGTCTTTTGATATTTTCAAGACGTAATAAAGGAGCCAGTGTGGCACAGCGTTGATAAATGAGAGTGATATGAGACGCATGGCAGACCAGGATCAGTTACTATGGCAAAACACCACTGATTACTGTAGAACCTACAGCTAGAAATTAGAGCAGGACAAATATAGGGTCTAACGAAATGATCAATATGGTGGAAATCCTGCTAATAAAGCACTGTTGCTTGTTTTATATAGTAATAAACAGCCAGGTGAGACCCAGAGAGGCACACTCATAAGAAAAACATAAATATATAAAACAGCATTGCTATTTAAAATGATATATACATTCTTGCTTAGATTTCTCATGAATAAATATTACATCAATACAACTGCTGTCGAAAGTAAACAGAGATAAAACTGTTGTTACATATTTTAGTCATTCCTAAGGACTTTTTTCAGTGCAGTGTTAACTTTTTTAAAACATTTCATACAAACAAATAAGGTATTCATTTAGACTGCATTCCTTACAGGTCATACAGTCTAATGATTAGAAAGCTGTAGAAACTGTAGAAAGAAATTTGTTAGCATGATAAATAATTATCACTGACTGATTTTTAATACTTAACTCATCTCAGCATCACAGAGCAGCACTGAGTCACGTTCACTCGCCTGTTTGCTGAGTAAATTAGCCCATCATAGCTAGATATGCTATTAAATGCAGTGTCATCAGACTCTCATGACTGATTGTGCTTTACTAATGATGGCTGACTGATGTTGGCCGAATGTCTCGCTTTCCATTACTAGGGCGGCCAGAAGGTGGCCATGCTTTATTCCAGGGTAACACTGGCCACCCCAGGCCGCCCCCAGGCTAGGCCTCTGATTCTAGCCTAAAACTCACATTTAACGTGTTACTTGTCTTGTTATGTAATTTTCTCATCTTTGACAGAATTCACAAGTTTATATAAGGTTCACGTTTTTGTTCTTTAGTATTCTCATCAAATTTATCACACAAGCAGTGGAGATTCCTGTAGAGTCAGCCAAGTGTGACGGCTAGCCAGTGATACATTGGCTAATAAATACAACCACATTAGCATTAGTGTAACTCTCACCTCGGCCATTTAAACAAAACCATAAAGGAAACAGCAAATCTTTCTTTATTCAGCATGAAATGAAGCCAAAGCTGCGCTCCTCACCTGAGGAGTCGTTTCTGTTCCCTGAGTAATGTGTTCCACCATGAATCCTGGGAAGCTCCGCCCACAGCTCTTTGTTGTCTGAGACTTTAGGACCGTCTGCTGTTTATTTGAGTTTGACAATCATTAAATTTGACAATTCATTGTTAATAACTCAATCATATCAGTCAGTAAAGCACTGTTAAACTAAAGCTGCTGGAGTCTATAACTGGATTTTTTTGGCCATGCAAAATTATATTGATCCAAATTTTTACCCTCTTTAAGTTACTTCTTAAAAATCTTTTAAACAATCGTATGTAAAAGTTTCTTTCTGTGTTTTGCTTTTGAAACACAGTGAAAAAGACACTTTGTCTAGGAAGAACACACTTCTGCACACTGTAAAGCACAATTACTGTTTATATGCTTAATTTAATTTATTTATTAAAAATATTGAAAATGTGGCAGACGCAGGCACACTTTTTTATTTATTTTTATTAATAAATAATTAGAACATGTGCACTATGGCCTCATCCATACTAGGATGTTTGAAAATATATATATATATATATATATATATATATATATATATGCCAAGTATGATTCAGTATCTCATGACTTAGTATCTTATAATAATGAGATAGCTTCTCATAATATTGACTTTAGATCTCATGACCTCATAATGACTTACTGTCTCATAATATGAGAAAATCTTTGATATGAGATCTTAAGTCATTATTGTGAGATATTGTCATTGTTATAGATATTCTCATTATTTAGAGAGAGCAAGTCATAATTATGAGATTATAAGACATCATTATGACGGTATCTCATTATGAGATCGAGATATTAAGTCATAATTATGAGATATCTCATTATTATGAGACTCAAAGTCATCTCTCTGAGATGTTATGTCATTATCATGATATATTAAGTCCTAATTATTGGAAACTCACTGAGTGGCTACACATTCTTTAGTCTCAGAAATGGGCTTCCATGAATTTCAGAGAGTTCTGCATATTAAATAAATGAAAATGTTTATGAGCAATGTTAATGTTAAATGTTAAGGTCATGACGTCAGCGTTTTCAAAAAGCTGCATTTTGCTCGTCGACACAAAAACAGAGAGCATTTTCTCCCGGAGCGCGTTCATAAAAACCCGCACAAAGCCTGTCTCCTCCTCTCCTCAGCCACAGTATGGATGAAGCTGTGGTGCCACCGGTCAGGGTTTGGCCTGGGAGCCGTTTCCAAACTTGGCCGACTCAGAGTGCAGAGAGGGAGCGGTCAGATCGGGCTGTCTAATCGGCCTGATGGAGGAGCAGCTTCTCTCTGTCCCTTTTGGAGGCCGGAGTCACAGCGGGCTGAGTTATTGTGAAGTGATGGACTGCCTCGGACTGGGAGCAATCAAAGAGATAGCTCGTGCATCTCCAAATTACCGCCGCTTCTGCCTCTGATTCATCAGCAGGGCGGCGGTGACGGCCAGCAGGCTTCGCTTAGATACGCGCACGCGCTCGCGCTCGCGCTCGCTCGCTCGCCACACACTGACAAAACAGAACAAAGCACTCAGAATTATTTGTGGAAATTAAATCTCTGCAGGAGGAGCCGCGTCGCCTCCTCCCACTCAGTGGAATTAAAGGACATTTATTTTCGGCGGAAATGCCGCGTGGAAACGTCTGAAACGAGCCTTTGGTTCTGGGAGGAGGAGAAATTGGACGCAGGCAATGAGGGAGCGGCCTACCTGGCGCGTCTCCACTGATGGATGGCTGTCAAGTCTGAACTCGCAGCTCGCGGCACCGAGCGCAGCGCAGACCCGCAGCACTTCCTCCACTGATGTGGAGCGGCGCGAGGTTCAGATCCTACAGCGTTCAGAGATTCAAATCTCACAGATCAAATACTGAAATTACTTCATTGATCATGGAAATCCTTAGATATAATTTTCTTTTGCATAAATTAACAGATAAATTGCATAGGGAATGAATTTGACTGATCACACTACATCACTTCAGTTTTTACATTTCCAGCCAAAACAGCCATTAAGGAGGTGTTTCTGAGGAGATCAGCTGTAAGATAATCCACTCGGAACATCAAAGGAAAACAAGTGGAAAAAACAGGAGTTTCCAAAACTGGAGTTAAAAAAATGAGCTTTGAATTAGCTTAAAATAATCTCCACTCTAGTTTAGATCTGAGGACTCTGGGTCTGAAAGGATGTGAAGCTGACAAGAAACTGTTAAGAAAAAAAACAAAGCTGCTCTTGATCTCAGAACAACGGACTGACCACCCCAGAGTCCAGACCTCAGCATCACTGAATTTGTTTGGAATTACTTCTGTCAAATGTAATTAATGTAAATGTAATGTAGTAACATTTAAAACAAATGCCAGACACAAAAGTTTTGATACCTTTAATAAGATTCATATGCAGAATTCTGTTACACAGTTTTCCCAGTGTTGGAGTACAGGCGCCCGAACTTGTCAAACACATGGCAGGTTGTGAAGACCCTCCTGAACAGCTGGAAAAGTGAAAATATTTAGCAATTAGTAACAGTTTCAGACAACATGTTGAGCATTATCAAAAATAATAATCGATAAAGTATTTACAGAGGAATGTAAGTAAAATTATAAGCACTGTGTCAAAATATTACTCAATTTATTGTCTGAAGTGGAACAATATACTTAAAAAAAGTCTGAATAGTTAAACACACTCGATTTTATAAAAGTAAAAAATAAATATAACTGATAAAAATGAAAGATTCTCTCTGGTGGGCTGATTAATCTGTGGTGCTGGTCCTCACATAGACAAATTAGCATTGTTGTGGGCTGTTTCACTGCACAATAATATGTCATGTTTTAATAAAAATTTTAATAAATAAAAAAATGAAATGTATGAGGACTCAACTAATAGAAAGGGAGAAAACTCTCCTGCTCATTAAGACTGGTAAAGACTTTGAAGGTCTAAAAAGGAGTAAAAAGTATGTTTTCTCTCTTTGAAATGTTTTCAATTTCAGTAAGACTTTCAAAAAGCACAAATCCTTTAAATAATCCTTACAGTGGAATTCCACTGGTTTTTGAAAATGTATGGGTAATTAAACAGTTGAAATATAAACAAAGTCATTCTGGATGTTTGGTGTGAAACGCTCTGTTCTAGATAAACTTACAGAGTCAGAACTGCTCACAGTGGTGGTGATAGGAACCAGACGACTGAAGAGTTTAATACCTACACAGACCGTTCTCACATGATATATGATAATTGTGTAGAAAAGTAAACAAAGCATGACATTTGACTAGGGTATTCAAACTTTTGCTTCCAAATATACATGTTAAATTACATGGTGTGCTTATGAGATTAAATACTAATGATAAATACTTCTAAGTATTGAGTAAAGTACTTCTAAGTGCCTGATAATTAGAAGCAGTGAGGTCACTTTATATGCACTCTTCTCCACTGTGTGGCTCACTACACCTAATGTGATGCTGGTAGTGCCCTCTTCATCATAGCGCTAATAGTTTTTCCCAAGCTCAGTCAGCCTGTTAATGATGGATGCCAGAGCCAGAACACAAATCCTGACCTCTTTTTTTGCAGCTCTGCAAAATCAGCGTCAGGTATTTTTAGCTGGACTGGATTCAGCCTTTTGCGAGTGGCCTAGTTGCTGCAGTTCTAGCAGACCAGAGTCTCTCTAGGTGTGAGCTAATGCTCGCCGACCCCCCCTAGAGGCAGACCTGCTCTAACACAGGCCACCTTTTCTCCAGCGCTGCTTACTATTCAGAGAAGCCGAGCTGAGCGTGGCGGCAGGATAACAAAGAGAACGAGTGAGGAGTGAAGTCAGGCTGGAAAAAGGAGGGAGGGAGGGGAGAGAGAGGCGGTTTAATTATATATTTTGTTTCTCTCTCTCTTTTTTTAAGACTAAAAAAAGACGAAGTTGAGCAAGGACAAACTAATGTCATAGACTGGGGCATTGACGATTTCCCTTCTCGCAGGCATGCATGTGATCCTCTGTCAGTCAGCGTCCGCCGCCATGACAATCATCTGTCTGCCAGGGCCTCGGGACAGGCTGCAGCCAGCTGCCCTTGTAAACAGCACTCAGCGCTGACACTAACGACTGCGGAGCAAACGCAAGTGGACACTGTCTCAGGAAAATACGCTCCGTTAAATTCTCGCCGAGAGAAACGGTGAAAATCTAGACGTTTCTGTGTCACATCGAGGTGTAAATCGCGGCTGGATGGCTCCGCTGGTGAAGGCGTGCAATAGCTAGGTGAAGAATTAGCTACGCATTAAAGGAATAGTCTGGTCAGAAATGTTAATGTTGCTAACAGTGAATAGAAGTGAATAGCCACCGCTCAACATGATGAAAACGGCATCATGCTAACTGGTGGCTACCAGCTTCCAGTCATTATTATCAGTGTTAGCAGCTTTAGTTGAGGTACAGCTTTAAAGCTGTAGAGACGAGGCTGATTTATGGGACATAGGTGGAGCCAGAGGGAGCATCCCACCACCTGGCTTGAGGAGGAGTTGGAGCCCCTGCTGAGACTGACAGCACTTTCTGGCAAAGATAAAAAAGTGAACCAGTGTACAAACATATACAGTCGTATGCAAAAGTCTGCATCCCCCTCCGTCAAATTACATGTTTGTTGAAATAAAAATAAGTGAACACATCCACTACAAACTTGGCATATAGAACAGTTCTGCAAATTTTAGTGCACAGTTTCTGTTATTAGCAATGTATTAACATATTAAAAAACACAAAAAACACTCACACAAAAACAACAACAGTGTGAATCGTGCCATAACCTTTGCACAAGCCCACATTCTATGCTATATATTTTTATCCCAATATGTAGAACAGAGTAGCTGTGCATTAAAATGTGCAGGAGTGCGTTCTCTGTAGAGGATGTGTTCACTTACTTTCACCTAGAAAATCAGCTAAATGTCACTTCACTGGGGTGCCAAAGCTTTTGCACACAACTGTATTAGAGTCAGTCAAAGACATAAAACATGTGACTTGGTGATATTTGTTCAGGGAACGCGTGAAGGTGCTTTGAAAAAGCTTCTATTTAAAGCAGCAGACATGATAAGTACAGTGATATCATGCAAAATGACTTTTTATTTCAATTTTTGGATAACATACATCAAACAGAACCTCTAATAACTATAATGAGGCAAAAAATGACACCTCAAGCCACTGCACACCCTCCTCACTCTGCTCTCCCTCCTAACTTTATGCAAATGAGCTGCACAGTGACCAATCTGATGATTGACGAACTGTTACAAAGTCAAGATAAATACTGAGATTCAACACTTGACTGCATTCTGATCTATAGCTGATGTAAATGTAGTTGAGATATAATAGTTGGAAAAAACATAAAAGCCTTTATTAATTAGAACGACTGTTCTTACAACACAGAAACAAGCGCAGATTTGAGCGCAAATGATGACTCAGCTTCAGTGCGTGAAATCAAGCGGCATCCTACCAGTACTTTATTTACATATCATTTACATGAAGCATGTTCTAATTCATGCAGGGTTTGTCAGGAAGCCAATAAAACAAGTTCCAGCAACTCCTGAGCCAATGGCTGTGCTCGAAGGCAGTTTGAGCTCCCCCTAGAGACCAAAATTTATTGTGTAAAAATTACAACGACTGGAGAGAATAAAATGTGAGATAAACCAAATGTCTCAGTTTTTGAAGACAGTAGAATGATGTAATTGTGTATTGTGATTATACTTCTAAAATAACATATTTAAATGCTGTATTATTGAAGTATGAGCTGCGTTTTACATTGTTTAGTATTATGAAACAGAAGCACAGTGTAATATGAGTTTACATGGAATAGGTGCAGCATTTATACTAATGTGCATGTAGAACAGGGACTTTAGTACTGGATTGCCATATGCACAAATTATTAGAATTATTATATTATAGTATCTTTCTTATTATAATTATTACAGATAATAGTAGTTTTGGTTAATTAATCACAAATCAACCATTTTTAGGCTGTTGAACTCTCAAATTTACACACTTCTACCAGACGTGAGTTTGATCGTACAAATACAGCAAAGATGACACTGGTGAACAATAAAACTGATGTACACAACCATAATTAATTACACATTAATTACTTAAATAGACAACACTTTAGAATATCAATGATAGTTTATAAGACATCTATAAGCTGTCACTTCTTAACTGACTTATAATGAGCTAATTCATCAGTAATTAATATATTAATATTAGTTTGTAAGACACTACTTGCTTGTTTACCAATGACTTGTAAGTTCTTTTATTTTGTCACAGTGTCCCGTGTCTGGCTCCACCCCCCACGTCTCTCCTCTTATCATTAGTGTTTCCACCTGTGTGCAGTTTGTTGTCCCTCTTTTTCCAGGTGGTTGCTATTATTGTCTTTGGTAGACGTAGCTCTCATGTTTGTGTGTCTTTGTCTGGTGCCATTTGCTTCATGTTTTGTTTGTATTGTTTATTTATTTGCCTTAAGTTTAATAACACTGATGATTTGACGCCTGCATCCTTAACGGTGATCTGGTGTTCTGTCACAAATGGAGGCATCAGTGCAGATTGGATAGGGGTGTTTATTAAGGATGTTTATGGAGTAATATGAATATATTAATGAATGGTAAATAAAACTCTTATAAACTATAGTTATATAAAGTGTTACCTAATTATATAGGTATATACGTTACTGTGTAAATGTAAAAGGTAATTACATCATTATATAAAAATAGTATCTAAACCGCAAGGGTCTGTATGTGGGAACACACTAATTTCCCTCTCATAACTACATAACTTAGTCGTTAGTGAATAATTTATCACAGTTACTGAATAATAAGTCTGATGTTTAATAACTGAATAATAAGCTGTAGTTTAAGGGGTTAAAAAGTGATCTATAGTCCTAATCTCTGCATAATTCACAGTTTCTGGTCTTTAAAACCCACATGTGCAGGTATTGTCAGTTTATTTAACAGTGCACTGTGCGTGGCAGCGGCCCTCCGGTGTTGGACTTTCACAGCTCTGCATTAGTGCGTATTTACCACCTACTTAACAGCAGCTTTAACCAGGACACTTTTCACCTTAGTGGAACCATAATTTAAGCTAGAATTTGTTTCTTCTCTCCTCACCCCCACTCAATAAAACAGGAGTAAAGAAACAGAGATTGATTTATTTGCTTCAGCGTTCTTTGGGATGAAGGTGCTCTTTTTTTCCTGAAACCAATTAGCAGGCTAGCACTTGTAGTGCAGAATGTAGGTCAGCATCGAGTAATAAAAAAGTATTGACTTTTCTCTGACTGTAAGCAGTGTGAAAGGGGTGCCGCGGCCTTGTCGTACATGAAAAGAGCTCCATTAATTTCACTTATTTCAAGAAGGACCCTGTCAAGTCCTAATGCGTCCAATGCACTTTTCTCAGTCCGACACTCTGACATCTCGCCAGGCCCCAGCCGAAACGAGTTTACATTATGTTAGCTAGTGAGAAGTTGACGGCGTAATTCCCAGCAGCAATGGCAGAGG